CTGAATGCAAAGAAACTTTCTGACAATTCGATGTGGTGGAATGGTCCATCGTTTTTACTCCGACCAAAGGCTGAATGGCCTAAACCTCGACCCGTACAAGAAGAGAACGAACAGGTTCTACAAGAAGCAAAAAGGAATGCACCAGAAATCACTCACTCGATGGCCAATACTTCGTCTGACTACCCTGTTGCAAACGTGGAGATGATAATCGACAGCACTCGTTACAGCACATTAACAAAATTACTTCGTGTTACGGCACTGGTGATGAAATTTACTTCCAAGGTCAAGAATCGTGTAAAATCGAAAGAGAATTGTGATTCGGTTCAGAGAGAATTGACTGCCTCGGAAATTAACGACGCGGAAATTGCGTGGATCAAATCAGTACAAGCTAAACCGTTCGAAAACGAGATTCGATATCTTGCGCGTAAGAAAACGAAGGAAGAATGTCTGTCATCGCCGAAATATGTCACGCAATTTGGGTTATATGTAGATCAACAGGGAATCGTTCGTTGTGGCGGAAGAATTGGCAATAGTACCTTGTCATCGAACTGTATACATCCGATTTTACTTACTTCCAGACACCATTTTGTTGAACTGCTCATCGAACACACTCACAAGCATACTGTACTGCACAACGGTATACGAGATACCCTCACTGCATTAAGGGAACGTTTCTGGGTGATTCGTGGACGTGTAGCGGTTAAGAAAGTTATTCGAAAGTGCGTTACTTGTCTCAAACACGAAGGAAGTTCTTACGGACCACAACAACCAACTGATTTACCAAACACAAGAGTCTCAGATGACCCACCTTTCACGCACGTAGGACTCGATTTCGCTGGTCCAATTTATTTCGATTCGAAAGGGACTGAAACAGTTACCAACCATTCGTCAAAGAAATCATATGTTTGTCTGTTTACATGTTCATCAACAAGAGCTCTACATCTTGAACTTTGTCGAACTTTAAACGTCCCGGATTTCCTGTTAGCTTTTAGAAGATTCTCTAGTCGACGGGGACTTCCTGCCACTCTAACCTCAGATAACGCAAAGACTTTCAAGTCGGCATCCAAGGAATTGCTCAAAATCGTTAGATCCGAAGACGTGAAACGTTACCTTCACAATAATCGTATCTCTTGGAATTTTATTGTTGAGAGAGCCCCTTGGTGGGGCGGGTTTTGGGAGAGGTTGGTTCGAAGTGTCAAGCGGCCTCTCAAGAAGATATTAGGACGTTCGACATTAAGTTTTGAAGAACTCCGCACGATTTTAATCGAAATAGAGACGGTGATCAATTCAAGACCTATTACCTACGTTTACGATGATGTCGATTCAATATCGTATCCTTTAACGCCTTCAAATCTGATATATGGTAGACGTATTAGTTCAACGCCGAACAGCGCCCAACACGAAATCATCAGTACTTATAGATCTCTGACGAGAAGAGCTCGCCATCAGCGAAATGTATTAATACAACTGACAGAACAGTGGAAGAGAGAGTACCTGACGAGTCTAAGGGAACAATCAACACTGAAACAGAAAAACAATACTCGTGAAATATCAATAGGAGATATTGTGTTATTGAAGAAAGAATCGACTGCCAGATGTATGTGGAAACTGGCTAAAGTAGTGGAACTGCTTCCGGGTTCAGATGGAAAGGTTCGCGCAGCAATAGTTAAAGTTGCGAACAGTGATAAACGACCAATTTACCTCCGAAGAGTTGTGCAACATCTTATCCCAATCGAGGTGAAGGCTAATAACGACCAAGAAACACAAAAACATCCGCCTGTTGTTAATCCTTCATCGCCCGTTGTCACTGACAATGAATTAAGACCCAAACGTAATGCTGCAATTATTGGAGAGATTGCTCGAAGAGAAAGGGACACGTAAACTGTACATTGCTTGTTGTTTTGTTAAAGTTTATTACTAGAGTTAATAAACTTGAGGGAGTGTAACAATCGTGACATTCACGTGATCGCAGACTTGTTTACGTTACAGTAATTTTACATAATTAGATAAAACCGGTTTTTCTTGTTTTGTTAACGATATATATTTTTTGGAACATAAAATAAAGGAAAAATATGTAGTTTTGCGAGCGTGTTTTTAAACCCTTTTACGACGAATAAAGCGAAATTAATCACCGTTTTCTACATATACATTCAATTTCATACCAAACTAGGAATTCGCCGACTTTGGGAATTCGTCGCATTCACTTTGCATTCTGCAGTATTTCAGATAGGGTTTTCTCTGGAGGCTGTAGCAAAACCACCAAGATAACGAGCCGAAATTTCAGTCGCATATATCGAGAAATCATTTTCGTTAACATTTGTAGTAAGATGCTCAATTCGTCGATTTGAAAGCCCAAGATTTCGGTCAACCAACTTGCTCTCCGTCGTAAGTCTTGGCTATACGCACGCGGCATTTTTACAATTACCTTCACCCCAGTGATCATGCAATAGCTAATTAATGCGAAACAAAACCGTCGATTCCCATGATGCATTGCGCGCTCATAGTTTAACGTTCACGGTTTTGAGTTTTCGACGGACAACCTTTTTTGAATTAGCTGTAATGTAAGAGAACTTTTTCATTATATCATATAGTGAAACAACGCTGAAGTCATTATTTGATATAATGCAATAACGTAGTGCGCCATCTGCCCAAAAATTAAAACTGTCCATTATAAGGCTAATTGTAGTCTTATAATAATTCAAACTTCCGGTGTCAAGCGAAATTCTTGACCTCCGCGAAATACCTGACCAAACGTGACGGGTCAGAATATATGACGCTTGCTAAATTCTAAGTCCGCCAAAACCGTTTTTTAATTAAAGATTAGATAAAATAATCATGATGTTAATTTCTAATACTTCGTTAAATATTTCAAGCCGACATCACATAAATTTCACAGTCAATTGTGTGGTCGTGACCACGAAATACACGATGTTTCCTAAATACGGTCGGGCGAAATGATTTTTAAGTCCATATGCGATGTTATCAAGTGTTTCTAATACAGTATACACTTCGCCAAATCTAAATCGAACTCATTGTTGCTGCTTACTAAATAGCGAGCAGGTCAAACGCGAAACAATTTTGGTGCTAAAGTAATTCATATAGCATCACCTTTGAAACTGGAGTCTATTTTATATCACTAACAGCGCTTTTCGATTGACTTTTCCATTCGCAGATTTTAGATTCAAGCTCTATTATCGCTGAACGCTAACGTTCACGGCCAGTGGTATAGTGTCAATTCAGTTGATCAATTGCAGAATTGATGTTTGAAAATTTATGTATAAATATTATCCAACAAAATGACTTTATAAATACACGTGTTGTCTGTTGAGTTGCGAAATTTATGAACCAAAGTAATTCATGCGCATCGTCTGCGCATGGCCAGTTCTACAATACACAGATATTTCCAAGTCAGGAATTTCGCCTCATACCTGTAACCCAAAACGTCCGATTCGTGGGCCGAAGGTGCCAAACATATTTAAATCACCCCGTTACGAACAAATCTCTTCGATTACGATTAAGCAATGACTACAGCCGTGCAAGGAGCAGTTAGGTCCGTACTGACAGGCAAAGAAGCGTCCACACCAAACCAATTCTCGCCGCCGGCATCAAACGCGACTAAAGGCGTAATTCCAGTCCTCGCACGAAGCTACTCGCAGCTCGCTGCGAGTGCTTGCATCAAATTAAAATTAACTCCTAAGCATTGTGATTGGATGAAAGTGCTCATGCATGCACTCGCAGCCGAGTTGCAAGGAGCTTCGTGCGAGGATTGGAATTGCGCCCTAACACAAGTTGAAGTTCAAAACGTTATAAACCAGGTGTGTATGACCTACATTGTATTTCATATAAGTACTGAGTCATTAAGCTTCGCCTTTATGAATATTTATCAATATCTTACTTTACATAAAGGCTGCAGAAAATTGTACTCAGCTATAAACAACCGTGGTGGCAACCGTAATATAAACATAGAACAACCAGAGCAAACAGCACTGCCCTCAATATTTGGCGGAGCAAGCCGTTCGCAGAGTATGCCGCCTGCCAAAAAGTCAAAACACGGTGGCTATTATATTATTATTATTAGTTTCGTTATGGTTGCCACCACCATTATTTATAGGAATAGCCCAGGTGCTCTTCTGAGTATAATTCTCTATGGCCTTCATGTAAAGTAAGATATTGATAAATATTCATAAAGTTGAAACTTAATGCCTGAGTACTTATATCAATCTCGTTCCCCGAGCATGCTCGTTCGCAGGTAAGGGTGGGCATAGCTCTGGAGAAATCGAATTGATTCACGTTGAATTTCCAACGTGAGTTCTGCGCATGCTCGACAATTGTTGTAAAATGTAATCAAAGTATTTAGAATTTCTCGTCGAAAATTTGATACGTTTTACACTGAAACAGGTTGAAAAGAACTAAAAATTCGGGGGGGGGGGATATATGTACGAAAGCTTCGGATTGATAGGGATACAACTACCTGAAAAATACAAGGAGAACTTCGACGTTCCAAGAGAAGGCGCTTCGACTTGTAGCCTTGTACTGTTAGTGTTTGGATACATCGTACTTGATCTTTTATGCTGTTGGTATTCATGATAAATATATTAATCTTCTCAAGAATGAGAAAATGTTTGCTGTGAAGTGTGAACCTAACACTACGTGCACCATAAATTCCGATAGGAAAGCAAAATTAAATTTAAAGCACAGACATAGTATTTGAGAACAACGTCAATAATCCAATGTCAAGGAAATTTAAACATTTAGTCCAATTTTAAAGACATCAACAGCAGGGTCCACACTTCACAGCAAACATTCTCTCATTCTTGAGGAGATTATATTTGCCAGTAAAGGTCATGTACGATGTATACAAACACTAACAGTACAAGTCGAAGCGCCTTCTCTCGAAACGTCGAGGTCAGGCTTTAAAATATCTTTTACAGGGCCGTCTGACAAAATGTCCGATGACTTTGAGTTTGGGTCGGATATATGTATGATGATGTCCGATGACCTTCGGTTCAGTTTGGCTCGGAAATAAGTCTGAATGACACAACTGAATTAGTATCAGCACAATGTGGTAATTCTGAAAGGAAAATGTTGTGGACCCGTTAATTTCCAAGCCAAAATTAACTTGCTTGCCAAGAACAGCAGTAAGAGTTCGACAACTTAAGAGAGGATGTCCACAAAAATCAAACATAAAGCGGCCACGACTGAAAAATCGATTTTGCTCAAATTTTGCCCAGATATACCTTATTATATCGGAAAATGCACCATATATTTTTTAGGTCAAATGCTTTTTTAACTTGGTGAAAATGCCGTTTTAACACGACCACCCTAAATCGCCATTTTTTCTGGGAAAATATGCGCTGATTTTACAGATAAATTTCACGACGACAACCGTTTCTAATCGATCTAAAACCCTATAAATCTTGTTTTCGGTTATTCAAAGGACTGTGTACATGACTTACAGGAAATCTGAGGTACTTCTAGGAACAGAAATAATCGTAGTTTTGGAGCACACTATCTTACTTCATTTACGATACCCTCTTAACAAAATCGATTTTCACCATGCGATAAAGCTCCAAATCGATCATGCTTCTACTAGTTGGCTCTTTAATAAACAAGCTTTCAATTGACGTAAATACTTCTTTTGGCAAATGAATACGCGATAAACGACAGCGCGTTGAAATCTTCCGTTTTTGACGTCTTGCAAGTCAAACGCTGTTAATTTATACACCGTCGAAGTAAACAATTTAATCAAGTATTCTAAGTATTTTACCTTTTGAGAAAAAACATATTCTTGAATGGGGGCTTTTCGCTTTGCTAAGTTTAAAAGTGGTCCAGAAATCCTTGTATATTTGTAAAAAAAAATCATCAAACATCCAGTATTTTGAGACATTGTTGACGGTTGCATGATAACTTCAGATCATTATTCAACGTGATCTACGACCCGCCGTTTGACTCTAGCGCTAACATATACAAATCGATGAGCTATTTAAGGATTATATTTGCTACTAAATTCCCCAAAAGAATTGGAACTACAACTGCTGTTTTCAGAGGCTTTGATCCATTTTGTCCATATTTAATAATGTACCATTTTATTTATCGACTGATGTTTACAAATACGTAAGTTAATTATTAAGCAGCTGTTAGCGTGTGTGTGCATGTGAAATGAACGTTTATAATGTTTATCCATATAAGGAGTTTTTATTTTTAGTTTACCAGCCTTTATATTTGAATTGTCGTTTTCTTTCAAGTTGTTTTCTTTTTTATATTCTGCAAAGTTGATTCCGAAATGTTAAGGTACTCGAAAAAACTATCGAACTTTTCCATGATATTTACAGAGAAACGTCACAGCTGTAAACCCCCCTCCCCCACCCCCAAAACGAACATATGACGTTTCTTGTGGAAAAAATCGATATGTGAGGCTTCCCTAAAACTGCAAGGTTTACACTATTGAATTAAAATCCCACAGACCACAACGATCATACGTATTGATTGTTTCTTGACGATACAGTAGTAGACGTGTACGTGCATGTTGCGGAAGAGGTTATTTCGCTGGCCTCAGAGTGACAAAAGGTACCCTAGTTCTAGAGGTTTAAAATAATAAACCTCTGTTTGGAAGCGGCAATTAATTCATCGAGCTGCGCCAATCAGCTTGAATTAGGGTAGATAGTTATGATAAGACAAGAGCGGCGCCAGGGCCGCCCATGCAGGGAGGCGGCAAAGGGAGCAATTTTCTCCGCGACCCCAGCTCAAGGAAGACAGGCAAATACAAATTTGCAAGGAGATAAAAAGTTTGTCGACGGAGGGGGTAATTGTGGTTCACCAGGGCCCCAAGGGTATAATTGGCCCTGGGGCCCATATTTCACTGAGCTGGTTTGGGCTGCGCCAGGGGGGAGTCATCAGTGCTCTCTTTTGATCTTTGTCAATTGGCATTAAAACTGCAAGAACTACCGACAAGTGACAAGGGCCGGATTAACGTCGCGCGAGGCCCGTGGCAAATTTTAGCGCGAGGTCCCCAAACCTCCCCCTTTCTTCTTTTTATGAAAACCATTGAATTTAAAGATACACAAAAGTGTTAAATAATTTTTTTCAATATTTCAATTTATTTGCATCAATTATAAACTCCCTGGCGCAGTTGGTGGATATAAACATGATTATAATATAACAGCTCAACGCAACTAAAGATTATATGAACACGAGTATTGCATATTTTCCCGAGGCTGTGGTAGGGCGAACTGCCAAATCTAGGGGCCCTAAATGCGCGAGGTCCCTATATTCGCGAGGCACCTAAAATGGATGTGTCCCAATAGAAAATGGCCATGTTCTCGTAAAAATGGGCGTAGCACAATAAAGCGCGAGGCCCACGGCATTTGCCGTATTTGACACGTGGTTGATCCTGCGTTAAACGAGCAACAAGCTTTCATTTTCTTTAAACGCGACGTGTGGGGAGACGTGTGGTGTTGCACTGGGCCAACATATCTCAATGCTGTATTTTTGGGTACTAGTACTTGTGAAATATAATAAGATCAATAGACTATAGTAATTTTATATAGTAATTTTGCTGATTATTTTAACTGTGCATCAAAGTAAACACACATTATTTTAAACTACAGTATTTGCTATATGCCTATTATTTCAGTTTGAGGTGGTAGAATATATAATAAAATAACAAATCCTTGTATGGATAAATGTTCATTTCACACGCATGCACGCTATTAACAGCTGCTTAATATCTAATTAACTTATGTATTCGTAAACATTTATACTCGATAGTCGATACGTATGGTGGCCGAGAACTGCCATTCAATATTTCAGTAAAAAAAATAAATAAAAAAAAACGAAATAGAATTTATTATAAACAAAAAAGAAAAACAAAATGAATTTAAAAAAATAATAAATAAAAGTAAAACAAAATTAAAACAAATTGAAATGTTTTTCAATTTAAATTAAAACAAAATAATTCCAAAATAAATTGAAATTTACACATGGCCTAGAGCTGCCATAGTATACCAGAATGCCTTGCGAGCGCAGTATTGCAAACATGGCGTACTTTCGAAACAGTAGCTGGCTCGAAGATGAACAACTTAAAGAGGACATTTCAAAATATATACGAGAAGGACTCCAACGTGCTGAGATTATGGACTTCCTAAAAAGAGATTTTCCGCAGTATGCATGGAGTATGCGCACTCTTGATAGACGAATTGAAGCATTCAACATCAAACGGATCGACAGAGATGTGACAGTTGACCAAGTCAAGAATGCTGTTCAGAAGGAATTAAATGGGCCTGGCCAATTGCTTGGCTATAGAGCCATGCATAAAAAGGTCAGGCAAGAGCACAATTTGAATGTTCCACGAGATCTTATTCACGCTGTTATGGTTGAGCTAGATCCTGAAGGTCTACAAGAACGCGGGGGGGTTGGTGTTAAGAAAACAAATCGTGGAAAGGGAAATTTTACCACCAAGGGGCCAATTGGGTGCACTCCTTAGACGGGCACGATAAGTTAATGGGCTATCAGAATTCAACATTCCCTTTGGCAGTGTATGGCTGCATTGATTCTGCAAGTCGAAAGTTATTGTGGCTGCGTGTATGGGTGAGCAATAGTGATCCCAAGATAATCGGCTGCTGGTATTTGGATTACTTATATGAGAGCAAAATTTTGCCGACATATTTAAGATTAGACAAGGGTACAGAGACCGGCATCATGGCAACGATGCATGCATTCCTTCGTGGAAATCATGGTGACATGGACCCAGACGATACAGTAATATATGGACCCTCAACTTCTAATCAAGTATATTATGCCATGTTTTGTGTTGAATTGCAACCATCTGTAATTGACATTTTGAAATATTTTCCATGGTACTTTGTGGTATGTAAATATGTAGGCATACAAATCAGAAAATATTGGCCATTCTATTTAATGAACCCCCCCCCCCCCATGGACGAGGTCAATACAATTTGAACCCCTAAGAAAAAAGATCAAAGTGCCGACACAAATACCCCCTCAGAAATTAAAAAATTTTTGCCTTACCCCTCATAAAAAAACGCAAAGATCAAAGGATGCCGATGCACACAACCCCTCAGAAACGGCTTTTTCAAACCCCCTCAGAAATTCTCGTCCATAGAGGGGGGGGGGGTATATTAAATGGAATGGCCCTATTTGGGCGGGGAAAATTTTTACGATTCTTGAGCTTTTTGCTAGCTTCAAAGGTATCAGCTATGTCTTTGAGTCCATATCACTGTGGCTTGCTCTATGGATACTGTGGCTTCACTAACTGTATAAACAAAGTCAGTATTTGCATTTGCCAATAATTATTATCTCAATTCCATCAGCTTTAATGTAAAGTGTGTATGCTTACTTGACCGGTCTACAATGCACGGACTTACATATGGCGTACATTTGTTTGCATAGTAATTGGAGTTCTCAAATTTGGACCAAACAGGTTTACTAAAAAGGTATATTTGGAACTTTTGTACATTCATATTTAAAAACTGGTGGTTCAGTTACCACAATAAAACCCTTTTCTTGCTGGAAATCTTTCTTTCTTTTTTGCCTTAAATGTCCTGCAATTAAAATTTATAATATACCAATTCTATCATGGTTGTAAATTAAAGGTTTGTTACACAGTTATTCAGCTAGAATTCATAGACATAGGCTTTCAGAATGGTTTTAATTGGGGAAGTACAATTTCTGCTCAACCCTCTAGTGTCTACCTGTAAACCACAGAATGTCTGTTCTAATCAAGTCTGTTTAACTGCATCCTAATAGATTGAGCGTTGGTGGCGGGAGCTCCACGAACGTTTAGAGAAATACTTTAAGCATCATTTGAACTGGCTGAAGAACAATAACGAGTACAATCCATCCAGTCAGACTGACAGGTACATGTACAATATGTAACCATTTTAATATAATATACACAAAATTGATCAGTATTAGATGTTCAAGCTTATATTTCACTAAATTACAGAATGCTTCTTGCCTTTTTGATGGTGCCACTTCTGCAAAGAGAGCTTGGTGTATTTAAAGAGACTGTTTGGAACACGCACAGAATCCGTACACAGAAAGGTACAAATCTTCCAGCAGGGGTGCCAAACCATATATACAACTTTCCTGAACAATATGGACTTGAAGAGAAAGGTACTGTTAAATTAAACAAAATATTTTGTCACTAAAGTCTATATGTAGTTCTATTTAGCCAAATAAAATTTCTTAAGTAATTTGCCTTGACCCCTTCCTTATTCTTTCCTGTTTTGAAACCAGACAACCTGGGTACTAGATTTTAATTTGTAGGTTGGGCTGTGAGCGAAGAAGAATTACAAGAAGTGGCAATGAATTCAGGTGTTCTTGAAGTTGAAACAGATTTCCTAGAGGAAGATTTTCGGGCAGAATGTGAAAGAGTCTTACCATACCCTAGTAAAGTAGAGCCCAGTGAATGCAGAGATGCATTTTTATATCTGAAAGAGAAATGTAATTTCCAAACATCGTCAGCCTCATAATCAATTTTGGTTTACTACAGTTACATTGTAAATTTAAAATATTTCAATGGATGAATGGTTGCATTTAATAACTGGACTGGAGAAGTTAACAAATCAATAGACACCTTTTATGGAATAAACACCCCCTTAAAATACCCAATGCCCAGTGTGTTTATCAGCCAGCCTCAGTGGGAACTAGGTTGGGTGTTTATTAGATAATTTATGGTGGACATGTAAATAGTCCAGGTGAGGCAGTTAATTGATAAAATGGAAAAAATCGATGTTTTTTGTAAACCAATTCAACCAACATTATTATTTGGAAAAAACTGTTTGAAACTCAGTAAAATTGGAACAAACAGCACACATAACAGTAGCTTACCAATTACATGTTACCATTTAAATACAACTGTTTTTAAAACTAGCATGAAGTTTAATCTAGCTTGAGTATTTTTTGACATGTTATAAAAATTTGTTCTCAGATGGATTTTGGTTTTCCCCCTGAACCATGTAACTAAACAATAACATTTAGTAATACTATCTCAAGTTAAATACTGGTGTCCAAATAGGCACAAAAGTTTTATAAAAATAAGAACGGATGAATATTTATAAGCAAAACATCAGTCTGAATGCTTAAATGTTTGTTATGCACTAAGTGGACTCAAGCCAGCAAGAGTGCAAAATGTTGTGCACTTGTGCTTGCTAATAAAGTTTTCGATTGCAATATGTGCTAGGTTCCCAGTGCAGAAGAGAAACTGACTATCGTCATAAAGACTAGATGTAGCAATTTCAGGATCATATAACTGGTAGCTGCTCCCCTGAATGTCGACCACCATGAGTTTTGTGCCAGATCTTTCATAAGAGAAATGTGAAAGGCACTGTGCTTTCTGCCCAATGACATTATTGCCACTGACACAAGGAATACCATTGTTGTTGATATATTTTACAAATTCACCTGACACAAATTCTTCAACAGTCAAAGATTCACCTTCGTCTGTCTTGCCCAGAAAAATCTTTCGGTACTTTAGATGCGGACCATACTGTTCAGCCTTGCCTGCATCTTTCAATATTTCTTGCTTAAGTTGAAGAGCAAAGTTGCGTGCAAGCATATGCATTTGAACAACCTTCTTGTTGTGGTCTTCCAGAGAGTGGTTTGTTGCTTGAATAGTTTCAACAGCATCAGGCAGATACTTCTTAATGACCCAAGAACATTTCTTGAATTCTGCATTGTGAGTGGTAGCTTTGTAAGCACTTCTGAATCCCCCTTGACCCAAAGGGTTTGCTTCAACCAAAAACTCTACAGTTTGTGCAACCTTGAATTGAATTGAATTTGTTTTTGCCACTTTACAAAATTGTTTACAAAAGAAAGAACACACAAAAACTAATTTAAATCACAATTATGGCCATAGGATTATAATTGAATGGGGTGCCTTGGGGTAAGTACCTCAAGGTAAGGGCCTTGGTATCTTACAAGGGGTGCAACTGTTGGGGGGGGGTGTGACTCCCCCCCCCAGATTAGAAATGGTATGATAGTTCTAAGGCAAATTTTGCCTAGTGTTGGGCTGTATGTCAAGCAAAGCAGTTTTATAAAATGATTAATGTAATGATTAAAAAGTGTTAATTCTGGTCAAGTCTGGGGAAATTTATGAAAATATTAAGGAAAACGAAATGAGTTATGGTATGTTGAGAAAATTTTTGTATGCTCGTATGTCCAAAATTTTTTTTTGTATGTTGACATGTCTGGAAAAAATTGTATGTCAATGTCCCCCCCCTCCCCAACAATTTTGGGAAATTAAATATTAATGGTCATTCCAGAAAAGATCCACACTTCTCCCCACGGAGAAAATTTCTGCCATCCGGAAAGGGAGGGGAGATAAAATTGTTTGTGATAATAGTAAATGTATTAGGACATCGGGAGAGGGGAGGGGGTTAACTTCCAATGGGGGAGGTATGGATGTTTTCTGGAATGACCCAATTAGTGGTTTGTGACATGCCTGAGAGGAAACC